ACAAATCAAAAGTTAAATAGAAAAGCAAAAAAGGAAATTTGACAATCCAAAGTTTGATAGAAAAGCGAAAAAAAGAAATCATACAATCCAAAGTTGGATAGAAAATTGACAAAAAAAATTTTACAATCCAGAGTTGGAAAGTGACAAAAAGAAAATTTTCAAAGACCAAGTTGGATATACTTCAAGTTCCACTTGAAATTGGAGACAAGTCCGGCCAAACGCGGGATTTGAAGTGGGAGCAATTTGTAGATACTAAAATTTCTTGGACTTTTATTTTGACAAATTGACTCATCTCATGTTTAATTAAATTATTTTTGGCCCAAACTTGGTAAACTTAAATTATTTAATTAGCCCAACCCAGCTAATTAAGTAAAAATATAATTATTCTTAATAAAATACATGTGGAATAATTATTTTTAGGGTAAAGTGCAATAAACCCCCTTGAATTATTGGGGTTTTGCAATAAACCCCTTGAACTACAAAAAAAAAAAAAAAAAACCATAAACTATGAATTTATTGCAAGTTACCCCATCACGTCATCTTCCGGTGCCAGAAAAAGAAAAAAGACCAATTTACCCTTATCAAAGATTACGTCGTTTTAACCTTTCTTTCCAAAAAAATTAGAAAGTTCTTCTATCTCGATACATAGAGATATATCGTTCTATATATATACATCCACCTATATAGTTCTACATATATATATATATATAATCTGAATCAATTCCCTTATGAACAATTATATATATATATATATATATATATATATATATATATATATATATATCATTCTATATATACATATAATACATATATATAGATCTTCTTCCCAAAAATCCGTGTGTGTGTGTGTGTATATATATATTGTTTTATATATAGAATCAGAATCAATTCCTTTATGAATTGCCTGTTCAATTATATCAGACACTGTATATACAGAGATAGACACATACACATCCCATGTGTAACGACCCAAACCTGTGGGTCCGAATCGTCAATCGGGTCCTTAATCGAACCCGGGGTTAACCATGAACAACACCACAATTTCCTACGTCAATACGTGACATATGAGTCAGTCCAAGGTCTAAAATAATCCAAGGACACGGTGATATAAATGGAGCAAGTGTACATGTCCTTGGGTCGACCGGCTGACAGAGCAGGTTCGGTCGGCTGACCTATATGGTCGGCCGGCTAAAACAGTTTTGAAGTTAGCATGCTCTCAGGACTTTCCAAAATAGCCTGTCGGTCGGCTGATGAAGGGGGTTCGGTCGGCCAAACCTGGGGTTTCGGTCGGCTGATGGTGAGGATCAGTCGGTCGAAACAGGGCTTCCTGGAACTCAACTCTTTGGAATTATTCCTAACTATGCTCATTACATGCCAAACCTATACTGAACCTGTTATGCAGTCAAATTTCTGAATTTATGGCAAAAGTATACAATATTATAATATTATAAACATAAATAGCTTGTCACAAAATACATCATCATACCCCATTCATTTGAACATGCTTACATAGTTCCAAATATACAATAAGTGTTGTCATGAAATTATAGTTACATTGCAAAAACAAATACATTCATGAGTTACAATTTTACAAAAGAATGGGCTAAAATACAAAAGATAACGAAAATATAAATTTCTATTCTCTTTCAAGCTTGTGGTGGATTATCATCCGCCACTTCCTTCCCGAGCCTTGAAAAAATATTAAATGTAATGGGATGAGCAAATTGCTCAGTAGGTGGTGCCTAAGACACACCTCTTATAACTCCGTGAACGCAAACAATGAATAGAATTATAAAAAATGGGATCATGCGATTCTGGGAAATACAACATCAATTTCAATATCCAAAATGAATGATATGATGTTATGGAATGCTATGCCATGTCGCTCCCCATTTTCAAAATCATCCATCATTTTTAAACTGTTATTATAACACGTCCATTGGTGACTCCGCAGCAACACGAGAGAAGGATTGGCTACTGTCCCTGACCCTTGGTACCCCCGTGGCGTCATTTGGAGCCCAGCTAGCTCAACCACGCCAGGGTGATTTCCCTAGTTCCCTCTAGGTTATATTAACACCACGGCCCTTTGGTGACTCCACAGCAACCAGGTTTTTTCAAAACCATTTTATCAAATATCTCCCCAAAACCCCTTTCTTTTCATTTCAAATAACTTTACCCATTTTCATGCTTAATGCTATGAATGCATGTCACATACTTTGACATTTCCATGGAAATAAAGAAGTTTCTATTACATAATTTAACATGCTTCCACATAGCCATTTCTAGTAAGATAATAAACACTTGGGCATGAAAATTAACACTTTGGCATGGAAATTAACACTTTGGCATGTTTTTCATACAATTCAATTAATACATATAATGATAGAATTAATATACAACATTTACATCATCCTCAAGGCAATCAACTCAAAATTAAACATGTTTTGTAACAAATATTGAGGGATAATTCACGAAGGAACAAGAAAGCATGAATTAGAGACCCTTACCTCAAGAATTGCAAAAACCCCCAATTTGTGCCCTAGATTTCAAATTTCCTAGAGTGTACCAAACAAGGAATTTCTCCGATCAAATCATAGATCTTGACGAGCTCTTTAATTTGCCGCAAACGGCTCCCAAAAATACCAAGAATTGAAAGAAAAATCAAGTTTGGAAATTTCAGACCAAAAGGAAAAAGAAAAAAAATAACTAGAAGAAGAGGGAGAGGAAGGGAGTTATGAGAGAAAGAGAAATGAGAGGCCATTTAGGCCTCTCAACCTTTAACAGAGGTGGTGGTGGGTCCCACCGCCAAAAATATTTTCTTTTTCCTTTTATTTTCATTTTACACTACACACACACACACACATCTATATAAATATATATACACATTTAATAATTCACAACCTCATACAACACATTAAATAAAATGCATGGAATGCAAATGGGCCCAACTAAAATTTTCGTATATAACAATTCCAGTAGCAGGTCTCACACGGGATCGTCCGGCCCGAAAAAGGAAAAAATGCACAAATGACAAACCTTGCATTTCAAAGAGTCCTGAACTCAATGAAATACCCCAAACAATACTCAGACACAACCGGTACACTCCACAGTGTCCGGCACGCAAAACAGCAAAAGACGAAAATGCCCTTGTAACGACAAAAAATCTGAAAAAGTGAAAAATAGCGAAAAATGGAAACATTACACCATGCCAAAATTAAACTATGTGTATATATATATAAGAAGATACAGAGGAACTCATTCTCTGTAAAAAAAAATACAACACATAGTATATATGTGTGTATATGTGTATATAATATAGAGAGAGAGATAAACATGCCAAAATTAAACGATATATACATATATAGACATATGAAGAGATGTGATACAATGATATTGAAGGAGGAGTGCCACAAATCGATGAGGAAGAAGGACAATGAATGAATTAGGGCAACTTATTTATGACAGATCGATGAAGAAAATAGACGTTGGGGCTTGTTTGGACACTAATTAGGTCCAACTATACTGAGTTTGCTCGACAATTATCGCCGACTGTGGGATAGATGATGATTCGTAGAAGATTGTGAGGGGTGGGATGACAACAACAGTAACCAAAATAAAAATAAAAACCCTTAAAAATAGCAGTTGCCATTGATAGACACATGGTAGCGAAGGACAGAATCAACGACGACGATGTAATGGATGAAAAGAGGACAAAGAGAAGGGAAGGAGGGCAGCAGTGTGAATATGCGAATTCTGAAATGGTAAATCTGAACTTCAAAGGTCATTATGGTCTTTTACATATGATAAGGGCTCTATGGTCATTTAGAAAAATATTGACTATATATCAATCGGCCGGTGGCCAGATTGGGTGAAGTGCAACCAAACAACATAGTTTAGGGGGTTTAATGCTACTTTAGAAGTTCGCCGGGGGGGGGGGAGGGGGGGGGGGGGGGGGGGCATAATATAACTGGCCCGGCCCAGTTATAATTATGTCCTTATCAAGAAAGGACACATGCCATCATCCTATTAATCCAATCCAATAAGCCTATAAAACTGATTGTTATATAATGCCATGATACAATTATTGGTACCATTATGGATATAATGACATAGAGGAAGGAGGAAGAAATTGAGAATTCCAAAAATCGAGAATTCTAGAGAGAAATGCAGAAGCTCTATTGATATTCATCCCCAACACCCAATCCATTCTTTAACAAATTTAACAAATTCTCTGAAGATGAGAAACAACAAGAACATTCAATCTAAAGTCGTGCCGTTTTTCCTCAAATTCAACAAAAAACAACAAGCACATTAAAATCGTGCCGTTCTTTTCTCCATAATTCAACAAGTTTAAAGAATCACTAAACAACACTGTTCGAGATCAAGCTTTGTCATCCCTCGATCAAAAATCATCAGCGGTCTTCTTCAAGTACAAATTAAAGAAGATTGTCAACAAATCGATTTAAGATCAAGCTCCAACAATCCTTAGATCCAATCAACAAAGGAGATCGAATCAGAAGATACTTTCTCTTTTGTAAAGAATATCTCAGAGGAGTGCACTCAAATTTTCATAAATTAATAAATTAATATAGTTTTTTTTTTTAGGTAAAGTAATAATAATAAATTAATATTTGCTCCCTATTTCGTTCTTTAATTTGCAGATATGAAATTTGTGTGTACAAGTGTCACGCCAAGCGCCATCCCAAGAGGCACCTGGGTCCACCTCCGGGTAGGCAAGACGGCATGACAACAATGAGGACGTTGTGAGTTCAGCTAAGAGATCTTATCTTACATCGAATCTAGATGGAGAATTGATTGACTGTCAGCACCACCAAATAATAGCGTATGTTTTTGTTTCCGTTACAAAGTTCCACTAACAATCTCTGCTGCACCGGAGAATTCATCCATCTTTTATTTTATTTTTATTTTATGTAAAAGCATTTAATACATGCTGTAAAGGGTTGCTCTCATCAATCAATTTAGATGAAGCTAATAACTACCAGAAGCAAAGTAGTTGAACACCACTGCCACCATACCCCAAACTGAACGCCACAGAGATCCAGCAATTTCACTATTGAAATCTTGTATGAACCTCCATGTATCTTCATCATACAAGTCAATAAATTTTTTTTGACTTGTAACGCGTTTTATACAATTCCAATTACAAAGTCATTAGTTCCTTCCACTTAAGTCAGTCTTGTCATCTCTCTCTCTCTCTCTCTCTCTCTTGATTTTTACACTGAAGAGACGTATATATATCTATATACACATAAAAACACACATATAAACATCTGCATATAGAGAGTTTTAGAGATAGACCAGAGTTGGTCATTGTCATGGACGTGCATCAGGAAAAGAAAGAAGACGAGGGGAAGGTAGTAATGGAGCAAACAGAGGAGTCACTTAATACAGAATCTGAATTAGAAGGAGACGAGGAAGCAAAGAAAGTTATGGAATATAGTAATGAAATCAATGAGGAGGAGCAGAATAAAGTTCGTCTCATGAGAGCCTTTGTTGAAAGTCAAGACCCCTCTTCTAAGGTTCTCTCTCTCTCTCTCTCTCTCACACACACACACACACACAGTATTATCTATTCCTATTTTATTTTGATTTTTTCTTCAGCCTTTCTTAATTTTATTGTTTAATTTTTACTCTTAGCCCAAAATCAGTGATTAATTTTACCAAGATTTGTATACCACCCTAATTTGGATTAAAAAACAACAAAGAGAGGGTTAAGGTATTTTTTTTCAAAAAGCCAGAGTAAGCAAGAGACACCATCTTTGAAAATGTATTTACAAGGACTTTTCTTTTTCATTTTTGTGTTAAAAAAATAAATAAAATAAATAAAAATAACACCTATTGATAAAGAAAAGTATACAGAAGTAAAGCTCAAACTAAACCAATTATTGCACGAATAAGTCAATGTACAACTATAAAAAACACCAGAAAAAAATTAACAGTTCTCATTGGCCAATCTTTTTTGTGGGACTTTGAACACCCTCTTCAATCCAAAACCTCAGCTTGCCTATCCCTCCAAAAATTTACCATATAACAAATTAACTTTTGGGAATTATTTAATCAAAATATCAAAAGCATTGTAGGCTAGGGTATTTTATCACATTTCAAAGTAAAAAATCGAGGTATCAAAAAAGAAAGTTTAGGATTTAAATTTTCAAATGAGCAAAGTGAGAGTATGATCTTAATGAATATTTATTCCAAATCCATTTCTATAACAGTATGTAGAAGATCCGTCTCAAATATTTAGATATGAATGATATTAAAATAGATATGAGATGGATCTAGTTTAACCTGAAACCGATCCAATCCAAGACCCCTTTTACCATATTATATTTTGATTATTCATGGATTATGCCTCTTAACAGACACAAATTTAGGTGTGAATTAATCCTGAAATTAATATATGAATCTAGGCTTAAATTTATATTTATATAATTATGTATGTATGTATATTAACTTGCGTATTTATTTAATGCCTTGTATCATCAGCTCCTTATTTCATTTTTCCCAACATGTTTACTTCTTAAAATCTACTAAAACCAAAAGGCTAGCACGTCGGAGCTTTTGCTTTGGTTCAATACATAATGTCTTTCCTCCATTTAGGAAAAAAAATAAAAATAAAAAATACATAATGTCTTAAGCTAATTTTAATTGGTTAATTAATCGGATCAGTCATTGATCGTCTGCAAGTATAATTGTCCTAACAATGATTTTGTATATATTTCTTGTTTGTCTCCGGTGGATTAGATATATATATATATATATATATATGTACATATTTCTCAGATCTAATTCCTACTGGCGTTATTCTTCTCCAGTCATTGTTAAATTGCTACTTAACATTCAATATAGTTTCAAGAATAGCCACTTAATTTGTAGTTTAGAACACTCTTTCGCTTTTTCATCACAATCATAAGATGTTTCTGGTAAAATTCTCTATTTATAAAAATCCAACTATGCCCCTGTGGCGGTCAGTTATATGGCGGTGAATTTGTTTTCGCTTCGGTCAGTTATTCGTTTTCACTCCAGTCAGTTATTCGATGGTGAATTCATTTCCAGACCTTGTACACAATTCCCGTCACACTTTGGGAACTGGCCATGACCGCAGTCGTTACCTTAACTGCAATGAGGGCGCACCCCTTTCATTTTGTTATCTATAAATCCAACCCTTCAACACAAACCTGCACTAACACGATTTTGAATCCTAGTTACAGGATGTTGCCTAAACATTACTTGGAATTTTTTGCACATACTTCCGCTAGATCACTTATTTTGTTATTTTTTTTTTGTTAAATTCGGTTTCGCAGGAAGTAGACGACTTGATGATCAGAAGGTTTCTCCGCGCTCGTGATTTAGACATAGAGAAGGCGTCCTCTATGTTCCTAAAATACATAAAATGGAAACAAACATTCGTTCCAGATGGTTCCATTTCTGCGGCTCAGATTTCTAATGAAATTGCACAGAACAAGATGTTTATGCAAGGATTGGATAAAAGCGGACGCCCCATAACAGTTGTATTTGGTGGTAGACATTTCCACAAAAAAGGAGGTCTCGATGAGTTTAAGCGTACGTTCTTATCTTGTAACACGTTCTATTTTTATGACTTCGACAAAGAACAATCACTTTTTACGAAATAACGTTAAGTCTCACATAGACAAGATCACCCTTTGGAATCAAGTGCTAGACTTTGCAAGAGGTCTCCCAACATATATATGAACTAGATCACAAATAAGAATGGAGGCAAAGAAACCCCCATTTTTTTTTTTATAAATAAAACACACACAAACACACAATGAACCAGTTACTGACTAGAAAAGTGAACTCCTTTATTAACAGGTTTTGTAGTCTTTGCTCTTGACAAATTATGTTCAAGGTACTCTCTCTCTCTCTCTCTCTCTCTCACGCGCACATTTCTCAGTTCAGTTAGGCACCTAATAGCAGTACTACTGTAGACTACTATTAATATCACTTATTATGTATCAGCATGCCAAGGGGACAAGAGAAATTTGTTGTCATAGGAGATCTAGAAGGATGGGGATACTCGAACAGTGACATTCGTGCATACCTTGGAGCTCTATCCATTTTGCAGGTTCATCTTCCACCATGCATTACTTGCTCTCTGCAGTTCAATTTCCTACTCAAATAGACTCATATGGTCTATTATGGTGCCGTGTCCGGTGTCAGAGATGTGTCGGGTGCAGTAACACTTCGTGAACACTCCTAAGCACGTCCAAAACTGACACATTTCAAACACTATAAAACAAGGCTTGTCATGTCCATAACATGTCGTTCTTTTTAGGAATGGACATGTCAGAATATTGTGTTGGTGCCTGTGCTACTTAACACAAAAGTGCTTCTTGTTAATGGCAGGACTACTACCCGGAAAGACTTGGAAAGTTGTTTATTGTCCATGTGCCCTACATATTCATGACAGTATGGAAGGTTGTCTATCCATTTATTGACAACAAAACCAAGAAGAAGGTAAGGTTTTGAGTTCTTCTATTTTCATGCAAGCATTCTTCACAGTCGATTGTCATTCTGTTCATTTGTCATGCTCCTACAGATCATATTTGTGGAAAATAAGAAGTTGAAATCTACCCTACTTGAAGACATTGATGAGAGCCAAATACCAGAGATTTATGGAGGCAAACTGCAATTGGTTCCAATACAAGATAACTAACCAGTTCACTCACCAGTATAAGTATTTATATATTTTTCCTCTTTCTGTCATCGGTTTATGGATTAACTTTGTCGGTAAAGAACTGCTCATGCACTAGCAATGACAAGTTATATATATATATATATATATATATATATATATAGAGAGAGAGAGAGAGAGAGAGAGAGAGAGAGAGAGAGAACCTGAAAATCATGAGCTCCTTGAAACAGAACGAGCTGCAGCGCAGTTAGCTATCTATTTGTATGGACAGAGACTGCATCAATAAGTGTAGCAGGCCAAAATGCCTTTCTTTTATTTGTGTTTATGTTTGGAAAACCAATCATTGATGATATGCATCCTTAGTAGAAATGAATTCTTCATCCTTAGCCAAAATGGTTATCTATCTCTCGTACATGCATTCAAATCTTGGCCAGGACTGGAGAGTACCTTGCACTTTGGCTGGGTAACATAGAGAACTGGGAATTCAATACTGCTGATGCATGATCAGATATTGTTTCAAAAGCGCACTGCAAAAGTGTTTTCCTTTGGTGATATATATCCCATTTTTCAGATTAATCATGCACAAGATAGATAAACCACTGATAAACACCACACCAAGCACTCAAATTTAATCATATTTACCAGTAGTATTTATCTTCACCAGCCATTTGAAAAGCAAGAAAATATAGCTATCAGACAATGTGTGCAACAAGGACCTAAACCAATTTGTATAAATCTGCAGTAACTCTACATGAGATAGATAACCTTACTGTTCTGTTCACCTTATCATTCTTATGCATAATAAAATAAATCCAGATACCTTCTGGGTAGTCACAGCACATCCAGGGCAGAAGTGTTTATAATAGGAGCCAAACAGCCACTCATTTGAAAGAAGTTCACCGTTACAACGCCAGAAGTAGATAAATCGACATTATAACCAAGTATAGAAGCATGTGATCAACCTGGTCAGAGAAAAGTTAAGACCATGATCTGCTCTTGAAGTGTTGGAGCACATCCAAAGCAGAAGCGTTCATGGTAGGAGGAAAATAGCCACTCATCTGAACGGTTTGGCTACTAATCCATTCAATGAAAAGCGCATTAAAAACATTTGGAAATGACAAATGTGGTGAACTTTCAACCTTAGAAAGGGTATCCAGTGTTAATAATATACCATGGAAATGAAAATATAATATAATGTAGATTTCTGCTACATAAAGGGGTAAAAAAAAATGATAATATCAATTATTCTAAATGACTCGGTAGAATTCAATAGTCAAAAGAACAAAAAGTAAAATGAAATAACAGTTACAGCAGCCTTGTTCATCTTGAGATCAGCTTAAATCATTCCAAATTTCAGAAACAAATAAGCACAACCTACGCGCAACTAAGCAGTAGGGAAGGAGGTGAATACGTAAAACTCAAGACTTGTTCTGACAGGAATGACATTCAGAGCCAATCAACCCCAACTTGTCAGCATTCAATATATTTTCTCGTCAGGAAACTGCAAGTGAAAACTTGAGGTTGCATGGTGCGGGCCCCTTACAAGTCTTGATGGAACATGGCGAGGGAAATACCACCATACAACATCAGCATCTGGTAAGAGAATTCAAAAATGGGTTGTCCCAACAATAATGAGTCGCATGTTTACCAAGCAGAAGCCTGTAGTCACTTGGGGAAGGTCAACATTGTTTGCTAACTACATCCGCTATTCAGTTTGGCACCTAAATTCCTCCCTGACATTCACAGTTGTCCCAGGCTCAACAAGGAGAAGAATCTCAAGTAACACCAGAACAAAAAAATCCTTTCTGGCAGAAATGCTCATCTTCTTCTCATGGTGGCTCTGCCTTATTTGCAGCAATCAGGTTGTTTTATAACACAGAAACAATGTCCCAAGCCCTCTTCTCCCACCTCTCTGTTACCACTGACCCCTTCAACCCACCTCCAACCACAAAAATCCCACTGGATGATGATCTCCTTGCTTGATTACATGGGAAAAAGATGTTCCTCTTGATCCAGAACTGGATTAAATCATTGAAGTCAATATGGCACAGTATTTTTAATTGGCAACTCTTACACTGCATGTATTGGTCAATCCTTGAAGGCCTACTAGTGGGATCTTGGGCTGATTCTTGCCGAGGAGATTCAACAGTCTGTGAAGTAAGAGTGGCTCTCCTTACAGTCCCCATGACCTCAAACTCAAAATGGGATAAGTTAATTGTCGATAGTGGTGCAATGCTGTTGACATCCCACTTCCTTCATACTCATTATGTCAAATCTTCTTTCCAGTCACTCCAGAATTAAAGCATTTTTGCAGGAGTCACTGCTCTCCTTGCAGTCCCCATGACCTCTACCTGCAGAGTGCAACATGATTTTGATCAAGACTGGGTTGCTTACTTGCTGAGTTCCCTCCCCCAAACTTGTGTTTTCCCTCTTTCTTTTTGTTTTTCAGGTTGTACCTATCGTAGAGAAGAAAAAGGCAAATGTAAAGAAACCTGCCACCTGTCAAGATGAAGTAAGCAAATTTGAACTTGCTAAAATCACCAGGGGTAAAGCGTTAGCAGCGGATCTAACAAATTTTTGAAGTTGTGTTATTCAAACCACCACCAATTCGTATTTCAGTGCATGATTTAGAAGCAAACATTGAAATTTTAACCAACGTCAATATCACACACCTACCATGTATGATCATAGAAAACTGCCAACATGAGTTGAGGTACGCATTTAGAAGCAGCACGCCACTTGAGATAGTATCTGAAACATATATACAACCATTTTAGAACATTGTGAGGATGCTTGTTGCTCAAACTATTTACCTTGACTACTGAATTCAATTGGCTCATGTTTATTCATCAAGAGAATTACTGTAGTTAAATTTATCTCATCCTTGATGCAGGGAAATCCTTGGGACATCAGGACAACTTTAAATAACTCAGATGTAGGATAAGTTGAAGAGTCACTACCACAAGGTAGAGGATTACAGGTCCCATATTTTAAGCTAAGTTATGATGTTGGTCAAAACTGGGGAATTAAGAAGAGAAAGCAACACATATATATTTTGAAGGATTTAAATATTGAAGTTTACACCCTCTCTAACAGCTTAAGCTTTTAGAGTCAATGGTAGTTAACATGGTATCAAAGCAGGCAAGGTCTTGTGTTCAAACCTCGCCGTCACCCTGATAATTAAAATTGATACACGTGTTGGACCAAAAGAAGGCCACATGTGAAGGGGAGTGAAGTTTATACCCTCTCTAATATGGTAGTTAACATCATATGTATATATATAGAGAGAGAGAGACAGAGAGAGAGAGAGAGAGTCAACGAAGAAAATGATAGAGAAGTACAAATTCCATCAAAGAATTAACACACAGCAACATTTGAAGAATTAACTTCAGAAAAACAATCGCACATGCCCTTCTACAAAAGAAAATTTCTGCAACTATAAGGTAGTTGAAATGAAGCCCGAGCTACTAGAAGAACCGGATATTATTCACTACTGGAAACTCTCTAGGTACCTTTAGAAGAAGATAGCTAATAACTAAAAACTAAAATTCTTAGGGAACAAAAATAGCTTGCATTTAGATTATTTAACATACAACTAAGAGGCATTACCCAAACAAACAAACAAAAAAAATCAAAATCAAAAGCTGTAAATAACATAGATTTAAAGAGACCAAGAAAGTGCTAAACATAATGAAATTGCAGTACACAACAATTAACACACCTTTCGGTTGTTGGTTCATAATATGCGTTTCAATTTGGCTCCATCATCATTGGCATATACACTGAACAACTTCCACCTCCAAGAGTCCAATCAGCCTGAGAAATTGTTCATTGTTCGCTTGAGTGTCTACTTCAACAAGTCCCAACTCCTTATTGTATTTGTTAATCACTGGTGAGCCTCAAATAACCATAGTGGCTGCATCTAGTAATTTCTGGAATGAAGTTAAACAGCTTTGCAGTATTTAGTCAAGAATATGTTACTTTCATACTAGAAGAAATCCCATTAAATCATCAGCATCAAGTTCAAAAGTTCAAAAAGAACAACCGTAAATTTCCTCTAAAAGTTCCGGAGCAGTGGTCAGATACCTCAACTTCTAAGTGCACAACAAATTGGTATACTCAAAATGAAACTAAAAACAGGCTGATTATTTAATAGAAGAAACACATTACGTCCTTTGCATAACCTCTTTTAACATATTCTTAATTTTAAACATTCAAGAAACGACTTCTTTACAAGATACCTCATCTCTAACAGAAGCCATATCTTAACCAGGTAGGTACTCTTAAAATCAACTACCAATAGTCTCCACAGCTACAGAAACCACCTTCAAACCGATGAAAACGGATACGGTCCCTCATAATTATCACCCTGTTCAATAATTTTGAAACCATTTCCATCCAGCAGTGACAGTCGGCACAAGTTCGGAGGTTTTTTGAAATCCGAATCTCAATTCCAGGGCAAGTTTTTAGGATCCCATAAGCCAATGCTAACTTCTCACTGTGATAATTCAAATTTCCTTCCTTTTCCTCCTCAGATACATCCATCAATACCAACTCTGTAGTAGGAATAAATCCTTCTATTTTGGTCCTGCGTATTAATCCTTCCAACACCTTATATAAATCTTTTGTATCTGGATGTGAGATATCACCAGCCTTAAATTGGTGAACCACACCAGCCAACTCAATCCAACTACACCCACTAATTTTACGAATTCCTTTTCTTTTCATCATATATCTCACTCTCTCAGCACTATCCCATTTGCTTATGGAGCAATAAATATTGGACAGCAAAACATAATCCCCACTTTTGAGATTTGATATATTTGTAATAGCAACTTCACCCAATTTAGAATTTTTGTGAGTTTTACAAGCACTAAGAAGTGCCCTCCATATGACAACATCAGGATCCATAGGCATTTCCTTAATTATTGCATAAGCTTCTTCTAGGCATCCAGCTCGACCCAAGAGATCAACTATTGATCCATAATGCTCAAGCTGAGGATAAATTGAGTAATGCCTTCTCATTAGATCAAAGTACTTACGACCCTGATCAACCAATCCACAGTGTCTGCATGCAGTAAGAATTCCCATAAAAGTTATAGAATCAGGTGAAATATTTTGTGACTCCATAAGTGAAAATAATGCAATTGCATCTAAAGCAAGCCCATGAACTGCTAGCCCGTTAATCATTGCATTCCAAACAGAAACATGCCTGCTTTGAATGCGATCAAAAATTTCTTTTGCACTTTCAATTCTTCCACATTTTGAGTACATGTCTATGAGTGCAGAACACAAAATGTAATTTAGCTCAATTTTTTTCTCAATCATTAAACCATGTATCCACTTAGCATGATCAAGAGCTCCAAGTCGTGCGCATGCAGTAATAACAGAAGAAAATGTATATCCATCTGGTTCAACATTTGAGCTCAACATTTCTTGCAAGATGCTAAACGCCTCCCTAAAGTGTGAGTTTTTGACATAACCTCCGATCATTGAGTTCCATGAAACCACATCCAGGGCAGGCATTTGATGAAATACACGCTTGGCAATACCAATTTCTCCAATCTTCATAAAACTTGCAATTATTGAATTAGCTGATATCAGATCGAGACTCCAACACTGAGTTTCATTGAGAAGTTGACCAGCAAGATTGAGGCGACCACAAGATGCATATATTGAAATCAGCGATGATACAAGAGATGAGCATGTTCCATACCCAAGTTTAATGATTCTAGTGTGGGTTTCTATTGCAATTCTTAAATTGGAGGAGAGTTTGCATGCTTCCAAAACACGGAAGAGCTTTTGATGATCTGAAAGGTTTGTCCGGTAAAAGAGAATCACTTAAAAGCTGAGAAAAGCCTCCTAACAGAACCAATTTCAATAAGACAGTTCATTTCAAAATGCTGAATAATGTATAAAACCTTTGGGGAAAAAAGGAAACAAAGAATGAAATGCTTTTCAAAACAATAGACAAATATGGCATACAAGACATACACAGAAAGTGAACATCAAAATTAAATATGCAACAAGTAACAACAAAAGGATTATAAGATCAGCAACAAAATCTCCTATGTCGATCCTTCTGGTGGTGACTGGGGATCTAATTCAAATTGTCAGCATGGATGGAGCCATGTAGAGCTGAGTGGGGGAGGCCCCCTCACTCAAGTTTCATTTATTCATTTCATTTATTTATATTACATACCTAATTTTTTTTTTTTAAATTTTAGTAATGTCCACGTTAAAGTTTTAGATATTTTACATCTATTGATGAGACAGTTTTTTGGGCTCCATGGCTTTTGTGTAGCTCTCGGGCTGCATTCCCCTTTTGAACGCTTTCTAATATACATTTACTTATCATAAAAAAAATAAAAAGTTTCGGTAATTTTTTTCTAAAATTTTAGTAATGCCCCCATTTAATTTTTGGTAAAACACCCTAACTCTATATGTACATGGAGTAAATTAGGTGTTGGAGAATATTATTATAGGAACCCTTACTTAAATTACTCCTTGACATAATATTGCTGTGACACTTGTTGCCATATTTGTGTTTGACTTTCTGTGTAATTCTTTTTTTATAAAATATTTGTAAAGTAATAATACTTGTAGAGCAAGTATTTTTTATTCTCTAGCTACAAGTTTTTCTCATTTCACCTATAAATAGAGGTAATCATTGTATACAAAAATTAAGAGAGTATAATAAAGATATGTAGCCCTCTGGGCTTTGTGTGTGCCCTAATGGTTGAACCACGTATATCCTTGCTCATTTCACCTATAAATAGAGGTGATCATTGTATACAAAAAAGAGAGTATAATAAATATATGTGCCCTGTCAAAATTGAAGAGAGAAATAGAAAATGAAGCACACAAGGATATACGTGGTTCAACCACTAGGGCTTACATCCACGACACACAAAGCCCAAATGGTTACATCTCTTTCATTACATTCTCTCTTAATTTTGTTTACAATAACCACCTCTATTTATAGGTGAATTGGGGAAGACTTTTAGCTATAATAAAGGAATTACACTGAAAATCAAATACAAATATGGCAACAACTTGTTACTCAAGTATTTCAACTTAACATTCCGTCAAGGAGTGATTTAAGGGCTTAAATCACTCATATAATTATTCTCCAACACCCCCCCAAGTTGGTACACAGAGATTTAACTCAAGTGTCCAACTTTAAATTAAATATGAAGTCGTCGAGAGTCTAAGACAAGTAAATTTGAGACGAGTTGATCCACATATCCGATACGAGACGAGTTGATCCAAAGATCCGAGATGAGTTGATCCGGAGATCCGAGACAAGTTGATCCGAAAATCCGAGACGAGTAAAGTATAGAGTAGGGTATAATAAATGAAGAACACAAGGATATATGTGGTTTAGCTACTAGGGCTTACAACCACGACACACAAAGCCCAAAGGCTACATCTCTTTCATTACATTCTCTCTTAATTTTGTTTACAATAACCACCTCTATTTATAGGTGAATTGGGGAAGACTTGTAACTATAATAAATGAATTACACAGAAAGTCAAATACAAATATGGCAACAAGTTGTTACCCAAGTCTAACAACTCAACATTTTGTCAAGGAGAGATTTGAGCCCTTAACTCACTTATATAATTATTTTCCAACATGCCCTTTGGGCTTTGTGTGCAGTGGATGTAAGCCCTAGTGGCTGAACCACGCATATCCTTGTTTTCATCTTCTATTTTTCTCTTCAATTTGACATGGTATCAGAGTAGGTCTATCATACCCTACTCTATACTCTACTCGTCTCGCATTTTCGGATAAATTCATCTTGCATCTCCAGATTAACTCGTCTCGGATCTTTGCATTAACTCGTCTCGGATCTTCGGATCAACTCGTCTTAGACTCTTACCAACTTTATAATTAGTTTCAAGTTGGACACTTGAGTTAAAATATCCGTGTACCAATTTGAAGGGGAAGGGGGTGGGGGTGTTTGGAGGATATTATTATAGGAACCCTTACTTAAATTATTCCTTGACTGAATATTGCTATGAGACTTGTTGCCATATTTGTATTTGACTTTCTGCTTAATTCCTTTATTATAAAATACTTATAAAGTAAGAATACTCTTTCATAAAGTATTTTTTATTCTCTAGCTATAAGTCTTTCTCATTTCACCTATAAATAAAGTATAATAAAGATATGTAACCATTTGGGCTTGTGTGTTGTGGATGTAAGCCCTAGTGGCTAGGGGTGGCCACAGATCGGATCGGATTAGGCATCAATCCTAATCCGATCTGCTCCGAATGGATTGGACAAATCTTAATCCACCATCAATCCATGGGATAACGGATCGGATTGAATTCACGGATAAAATTTTAACCATAGAACACTAGATAAAATTTTAATTTATCAACATTAATTCATATATTTAAATGATCATTAGCTAATACATTCTTAGATTCCATTAAATGATCACTAACTAATTAAATTAACTAATACATTCTTTAAATATACAAATATAAATCTTGCAGATCGGATTGGATCGGATCAGATTTTGACAGTCCAATCTATGATCCGATCTGTGAGCTACTTATTCAATTTTTTTTAATTCGCCACCAATCTGTGGGTGTAGCAATCCGATTTGATCTACATGGATCGGATTCGAGGATTATTTGCCCACCCCTACTCATAGTTATTAAAGGCCCAAGGCGCTAGATGTCCTTTGGAGCCTAGGCGCGAGGCACACGGCGAGGTGCGTGCCTGAGTGAAGTGAGGCGCACAATTGAAAATTTAAACTACCATAACAACATTCATATCTCATAAGTCATATCAATATTCTAAAAATTAATATCAAATATAAAAAAGTAAATCCATCAACTATACAAGCATCCAACAACTATAAATTAGAGCATAAATTTGTTTTCTTGAAAGGCAAAGTAAAATGTGTTTTTTGAATGGCAAAACAAAGCACAAAAAGAAATAAATATGTTAACAAAAAAAAAAAAAAGATAGAGAGATGAGAGAACTAGATGAAGAGAGAGATGTAAACAAAGATAACAAAAGAGGAGAGATCTAGAGGAGAAGAGAGAAAAAAGAAAAGAAAAGAAAGAACTGACGTGGCTTCATCGTTCATCGCTGCAACTAGGGCTTCATCTTCGTCTTACAATCTCATTCTATCGTTGTTCGGTTAACACTTTGACTCTTGGACTTTCTTATTTTTTTATTCTTTTGCACAAAAGTTCCTTATATCATATGATTGAGCTTTCTTTTTTGTTTATTAAGTTGCCAAAAGTACCCTTTTTGGCTTAAGAAATAGAACAATTGTATTTTTTTAAACAAATATCAGTAAGGCGCGCCTAGGCGCACCTCACAAACAGGATGAGGCGCAACCGAGGCGCGCGCCTAGTAAACATCAGTGAGCTTGGGATGACAACAGGCGCTAAACCTGAGCCTCGAGCCTGGGCGCATCTAGACATGAGCCTAGGCGCGCCTTTAACAACACTGCCCCTACTAGTGGCTGAACCACGTATATCCTTGTGTTTTTCATTTTCTATTTCTCTATTCAATTTGACATTAGGGATTCTAGGTCGTTTACTCTCTCTCTAAACTCGTTTATTGATTCTCTAATCTATTAATTTCCGGCCTTCTTGGATATGGGTAGACCACAAATTTTCTAAAATTCTCTTTACAATCTTGATCTACCAAAAAATTCTAAGATTAATCATATCAAATCGATGAGTTCACAACTTCTACCGGCTTACCTGACTTTGAGAGGTGAGCTTATGCTCGGTGCAATCCATACTCATGAGAGGTCCTATTCCTAACGTGACTCATCCTTTCACCATAAGTTTTATCTTTCTAAATCAAGAAATTTAAGAGTATACATGATTTTTGCTAGAATTCCTTCAATTTGGGTTACTTTTAATATATTACCTTGATAATATGTAATATTGGAAAAATAATAATCTAAATGGAAGTATGAACAATTTTCAATGAAAATATCAATAAATGTTAAAAGTTCTTTTGTTTTTTGCGGTACTTTAATTTTATTTATTTTTTAAATCTTATTTGTGTTCACCAATAGGTCAGTGGCCTAGCGGTACCAGACCCCTACTTCCTAAAGGAAAGTTAGAAGTTTGAGCCTCCACTGATTGTCATGTATCATTCTAAAATCCTTTGTCATTGATTTTATTATGTAATTAAGTATTAAGGTACAAATGTACAATACAATTAAATATTTATGTGTTTTTTGTCATGAAATTTCATTTATTTAATGTTAAGTTTATTTTTACTCATTAATTTAGTAAGTATAAATTAATAAGCCTTCAATAATGACGACAACTTAGGATTCATGTATAGGTCATTATTTGGGTTAAATGATCTAAAAAAATCAACAAAATAACTAAAATTCATTAGAAAATCACTTTTATTGGATTATGAGGCCAAGAAAAGTCATTAATTTCTGAAACGGTACCATGTTGTTAATGTTAAGCCTATAGTCGGTGCAGTTCATTCTTGAGTATTGGCCAGTGAAAGCGCGTTGGCGCCCATTACCATCATTCTCAAGTGCCAGATATGAATCCTCGAAAAAGTAGGGTATCCATGCGTTTTGGGTTGGTAGAATAAATTCACAATTGCGATAACCAATTCTATTATGTTTTGGTGATATGGCCCCACATCCATTATACTGCATCCTCATCGTCGAACTATCGTAATGATCCTCAAATCCCTCGATTTGGAATTACGTCACTCATGCTAATGCATTATGAAACTAGTTTTATAACAAGCGTGCATTGCTGTATACAACATTAAACAATTGAATCAAACAACGGAGGAATAAAACATGATGCTAGAACTTGAGACTTATGGAAACATAGGATGCATGTAGCCGACCCCAAGTAGTTGGGAAAAAGGGCTTGGATGTTGTAGTTGTGCTAGAAATTGAGACTTGATATTCATGTAATAAAGCAATTGCCACATAAAAAGGCAAAATAACTTAGTTCAATTTAGCCTTTCTATATTATTGGATGTAAAATATATATTTTTTCATAAGATATTGTTAGACGGCTTCAATAATGGGTGGTGCGAATATTGTTATACTTCACAATTTTTTTTGCGAAGATTTTCTCAAGAAGGTTGAACATATAGAAAGTGAGCACACACATATTACATACATATAGAACAAGCGAAAGGAAAAGGTTAAGGTAAGTGCATAAACATGATACTCCAATTTAATAAAAAGAAACAATATGTAACAAATGCATTTGCTATATTTTTTCCCTGAATGGTTATTTTATAAATATGGAAAAGAACAATGTGTACAATGCTCATAAGTGAAGGCATTCCTTCACTTAAAAAAAAAAAAAAAATTAAAAAATTAAATGAGAGAATGAAAAAGGAATACATATATTTCCAATAGCACAAGGAAAGAGAGGAAGAATGCAATATGAAAATAAACTTGGAATCCATAATGAATCTAAACCAAGAGATAAAAATCATCCAGATTTATATCAGCAGCACTCAAGACATTCCAAAATGCAGATCTAGCTGTGGAAACAGCATCACTTTAGAGGTCTGTAGGCATTTACTATATAATTTTTTTTCCCGGAATTTCATTTACTATATTTTCTCCATGCCATTATACAAAATGTTCACCATACAGTCTCTTAAGAGAGTAAGGTTATTTATTGACCGTCGGGTCCATCTCCCCATTGGAATGAAGCTAATGTTCACCAACCAGGGCATATGACACAGGTTGCACATCAGCCATGACAAGCATGCCTGCCACAATGCCTGTGACACCACAGAGGGGCCAGAAGCATATCCCACACTTGGTGCATGGATATTTTGTATATACGTAGTGGCAATATGGTCATTAAGATTATCAAAAAAAAAATATGGTCATTAAGATTATGATTTTTTAGATGGGTGATATTTTCCTTTTGCCGGATGGATAACTAATACTTTTGCACATATAGGGATGGTTAGTCAGTAAATGGTAACAACCTACACTTAAATATCTGACCTCCCCGTTTATGGACTGGGCTCAGTGTGACTGCATACAATCTTATGTGTACTTCCTATTGTTGTTTCATATTAATAGAACTAAATTTTGCATTTTTTTTTGTACCTCATTGGTACACGTCTTGTTTTGGGTGTGTACGCGGTTTCAAGGTATTTTTCTTTGGCATGCTCGCTTGGTTGTGCACAAGACTAGTCCCACACAGCCCTTTCGCATGCCTACAAGTGTAGACAATGACATGTGCAACCTTTGAAGATCCAAGAACATACCCCAATAGCATTTATATCCTACAACGACAATGAATGGATGGTGGGTCAATCCAACTGCATAAGAGAGGCTGATTTTATTCCAAATCGAATACATTCCGTCAATCTTTTTTTTCTCAAAGGGATGTTCAGTTAATGTTGCTAAGGGTTTTGGGTCTGAACCTAGGAAGAGAAATTAGGCTCTGATACCATGTTGTAGAGCATAAAACGGAAGCGAAGAGATAAATAAAACAAGTAGAACACAAGAATATTACGTGGTTCAACCACTAGGGCCTACATCTACCCACCACTATCAAAACCCAGATGAAGAAGCACAATTCCACATCCAAAATCTCAAATTCAACCAAACCCAGTTCGTTTCTCACAAAGAAATCCTCAAATCTGAACAAACCAACCACACACACACAAATAAAAAATAAAAAACTCTTACCGGTTTGCAACCTTTAGGTGGACCATCAGCTGCTAGAAATCTATGTACATTCCATAGAAGCCTCCGATGATGTCCTGGCTCACCCTCAGCATATATATAGCCAGGGATGGAGCTATGAGAAGCCTAGTAGGGAAAATGGCAAAGAACCATTTTTTTTTTTTTTTTTTTTTTCTATCATCCAAACTCACAAATTTCTAGTTCCATCACTGTGACTGAATTAAGATATTCACTTCCAACAAAAAAAAAAAAGAAAACAAAAAAAAAAAAAAGCTGTAATTCTATTCTAGCCCAAGATTAGCAATAATTCCAGCATTAATAGCCACCGGCAATACCCAATAGGCATCTAAAGTAGAGAGTGTCACCCAAATTTCAAATAGAAACAAAATAGAACTCCAAATCTATATAAATCACACAAGGAAAAACAAGAAAGACAATTTGAAGTAAAATGTTAGACAGAGAACTGACCTGTATCTGATGGGGCAACAGGTGAATTTGAGGTGGAATTAAGAGAGGCCCAATGATTGTTCTTACTATTATAAGGAAAGATGGTCATCATGGCCATGTTGTTCGGTAACGAAGACGAAACAAATACTCTTTGCTCTGCAAGTCTTAGCATCTTCTACGGTTTTATCGAACGAGAGAGATTAGTTCCTCGCACATCGGTTCATATGAAACTACAGTGGTCACTGGTCAGGGGGCAAGTGAGAGAACAACGAAGGAGTTCAGCCGCTACTTTTGGGCCCTCCACATGTATAGAATGAGAGGCTGCTTTAGCGGGCCATAAGATTTGTGAGAGTAGACATGGGCCGTGTTGCAAATCAGCTAAAGCCCAGAGAATGAGAAGCTGACTTGTCCTTTGCTGAGAATTAGAATCAAGTCCAAGTAAAGCGAAATCATTATTGATTTTTCCCTATTCCAAACCCCTCGCGGGAAAAGGTACTTCTCAAAACCCTATGTTATATCATTCTTCATAGCGGGTTAAATCTGCTCTTACTATTCGAGTGTGATTCTACATTGATGCTTCGTTGACCTCTCTCATTTGAGCGTGATTCTACAATGATGCTTCGTTCATTTCTTATTTTGTATGATTTAAATTTTGTCGCTTTCGCTCTCAAATTCTTTCTCACTCCCACTCTTACCTCTCAAATTCTTCCCACTCTTACCTTATGTGATAGCTCAAACTCCTACTAAAGAAGCACACATTTTGAGAAGAGAAAAACAAACTGCTCTAAATAAAAATTCAAGATAATAAATGATTAAAGTTATATGAATGATTTTTCTTAACGTTGTAATAGAAATTTAATAAATCAAGAAAAACAATTAACTAATCTCGTTCGGTAAATCAAAATTAGATACCACTATCTTCTATTTTTTATTTTTATTTTTTTCTTTCCTCCTTTCTTCTTTATTTCTTCCTTTTTCCTTTTTTTTTTTTTTTAAAAAAAAAAAAAATCAAAATAAAATTACACCGCCATCCTGGTAACCCATTTGGGCCATTTATCTTTTGATTGACAATGGTGATGGTCAACGTTAATATTGAGTAACACATTAAACATTTTCCTTAACATTCTACCACTTATTTATAGAATTATTGAATAGATAATTTTCTTCATAAATGTTACATATTTTATATCAGTATTTAAAATTACCCAAAAAAAATAAAAATAAAAATAAGAAGAAGAAGAAGAAGAAGAAGAAGAAATCTCATGTTTTCAAACACAATAAATTATAAAAAAATATTAAATGATATTAATGCTAATATATATAATCAAATGTAAATAACATCTAATTACATCCCAAAAGATTACTACATGAGAAAGAATAAACCTGATTCTATATAAACCAAGTATATTTCTTGTGAGGACCGTGTCCTTTTTTCCATTTTTTTTTCATATTTAATTTATTGCATTATTCATTTTTGAGTTATGTGGGCCCGGATCGGGTCAAGTGCTCGGAAATGATTTTCGATACTTCATTCAATGCATTGGATTTATTTTCATTATTTATTTCATTATGGGGTTTTATTTCCTCATGGGTGCAATTATTTTCACTTTTGGTACATTAGTGCATTTTGTTATGTTGTGGGCCAATGATTGACTAGTTGGTGAGATATTTGTGGAGGGAGTGTATGATATGTTTATATGTGTGTCTAGAGAGAAAAAAAATGGAAGACAAAGCCAAATCACCTTCATTTTCTCCCTCACCATCCGGCCATCTCTCTTCTCTCTCTCACTGCCATTTTCTTCATTCATCTTCAATCTTCTAGCCTCAATTTTGCCTAGCTCCACTGAGTTTTTCATTTTGCCATAGGAGATAAAAAGCACGGGGACACCCTGTAACAACCCAAACCCGGGATTCCGGATCGCTACACAAGTCCTTACCCGAACCCGATATCACATAAGGGTACTATGGCCATTTAGTACGTTCATTATGGCTTCTAAACTCATCAGAGGTAAAATTGTCATTTTCTATGGTCATTCTATGCTTTGGTTGAAGTCTGGGGGTAATTAGGTAATTATACAAAAATTTGGAGTCAAATGGTAAATATCAACTCATCTAACTGGGTACATGAGTCCATCTAACAGGTTAGATGACTAGTCCAGTATGCATGCCAAAATGGAGGGCTTATCTAACTGGGTAGATAAGTTAATCTAACGGGGTAAGTGTAATGTTTTCGATTTTTGTCATTTTTCATTTTCTGGAATTTTTTTATTTTTTTAGGGTATTTTGTCTTTTCTCATTTTGCGTGTTGGACATCGTGAAGTGTGTTGGATGTATCAAAGTATTGTTTGTGACATTTCCTTAAGTTCAGGACTCTTAAAAATGTATTGATTGCCATTTCGGTATTTTTCTGTTTTCGGGCCGGGAAGTCCTAGGTGGGACCTACTACTGGGGTTGTTGTGCATGAGGGTTGTGACACGAGTCCATTGCATTTCATGTATTGTTAATCTGTGCATATTTATTTGATTGTGATAATTATGTGGTAGTGAATTGATTAGTATATATATATATATACACATATTAATAGAAAAGTGAGATTTTTTATTGGTGGGACCCGCATGTAATCCCTTTTAATAGCCTTAAGACCATTTGGCTAATTATTCAACCTCAGATTCTCTCTCTCACTCCAGGCTCTCTCTTTCTCTCTCTTCATTTTCTCTTTTTCTTTTCTTTTTCTTCTTCAATCAAGCCAAGATATATCTCTAACCTTTAGGAATTTGATCTTGCCACTTAAGGTAAAGTTGATGAGTGCGTCGAGACCATCGTTTTGATTGGAGCAAAATGTCGTTTGGCCACTCCTTGGAATTTCAAATTTTTGGTGATTTTTGGGGCTTTTTCATCTATATTGAGGTAAGGGTATTCTAATCTATAATCCCTTTGATTTTTGTGATTCATTCCCCTATAATTGAAGTATGATACGTTTAATTGTGATTATTTCTTAAAAAATTGTCATGATGTTATATATATGAATTTTATCTCTATTTGAGTTTCATGTTTAAGTGATATGTGTGTATATTAGTTGTTGATTTGATATGAGAAGCATGCTTAATTGATTGAGTTCTTTTTTTAAATGCTTAGTTGCTGAAAATTCGTGAATAATAAGCATGCTATAAATTTTTAAGAATTTTCCTTAATTGGTATGGAATATTGTTAAGGTTAAATTGTATGAGATTATGGCAATTTGAGAAGCATGAAGCAGTCATGCATTCCATTGGGAAGGAAAAAGGGAAAAATGTTTTGAAAAACAAATGAAAAATTATTTTGGGGAAAATGTTTTGAAATGGTTTGCGAAAACCCAGGCGCCTAGGAATTACCTAGTGGTCCGTGGCATTAGTGTGGTTTAGAGAGGTTAGGGAGAGACCCAAACAAGGTTGAGCTATCTGGCCCGCGATGCCTTGGAGTTTTCATGTTGTAACGACCCGAACCCGTAGGTCCGAACCGCTAACCAAGTCCTTACCCGAACCCGAGGTTGTCTAGGTCAATCCTCATCGTGGCCAGTGTCAACACATCCACATTATGACCAAATCATGACTCAAGAGGACTTAAACAACTTGTCATGGCTCAGAGATAAACCAAACAAAATGAGGGACAATGCACCACTACAATAGCAAAAACGGTTGACCGAAGTGGTGTTTCAGCTGACCGAAATAACACCTGTACCGGTCGACTGAAGTGCCCATTTCGGTCGGCCGGTTGTGGTTTGAACAATGACTGAAGTTACTGGACAGATCGGTCGACCGAAGTGCTCATTTCGACCGACCGAAATGGTCCTGCGAGCTTGAAATTCTACAGAAAAATACCTTGAACATAGGAATGAACACAGTCTACAATAGAGCTTTAAAACTAAGTAAGTCTATCACATACACATGTAAGATTGATGAATAAAGATTACAACTTTCACCTAAGATTTATATCAACACGTTTATACAAGATCCTTCATAATCTTTGACAAAAACCAAAGCTTACAAAATTTACAGTCCAAAAATTACATTTAGAACTTTACGAGGGATCTAAGTTCCACATACAAAATATAACATCAACAAAAGTCCCAATCCCGTCTAGAATTGTGGTGGGTTGTCGTCCACCACTTCTTTTTCGAAACCTGAAAAATGTTAAATAATGGAGTGAGCATAAGTTCAGTAGGAAGTGTCTAAGACACACTTCTTATAACCCCGTGAGTCCACGCAAAGACTACAATAACGACTGTATAACAAATGTTGTCCTATCACAATCACACCACATATGCAAATGGAATGCAATGCAATGTCATGCAAGTGTCACTCCCCATTTCCGAAACAATTCCGTTTCAACTTCCAAACTATTAGTGTAATTCGACCCAAGACACCTCCAAGGTGTCATGAAAGGAGGTTTGACTAACTATCCACGACCACAAGGCACCTCCAAGGCGTCGCATCCGACCTAGTTAGCTCAATCATACTCCCCTCTAAACTACACTAACACCATGGACCACTAGGCGCCTCCTAGGCGTCCGGTCTTCGCAAACACTTTTAGAAAACTCTTTTTTTTTTTTTCCAAAACAATTTCTTTTGTTTTAAAACACTTTTCCCCTTTTTTCTTTCCTAATGAATGCATGAATGTTTCATGCTTCAATTCATCAATTCAACCATAGAAGTTCACATATGCTTTTACAAACAAGTTACTAAAATACACAACTCAGGCTTTCATTCCACATTATTCTAGCATATTAAGCATACAAATCACAAATTCTATTTCACATAAGCATGCTTAATCACAACATATCAATTAACACCTTGTCACAATTTTATACATGGCATTTGAGCAATTTCCAAAAACTTAGACTAATTAGGCATGCTCTTTAACAAATTATAAGAAATTAACTTACAAAAGCATAAGAAGACTTTGTATTAGAGACCTCTACCTCAATGGATGAGAAAAGCCCCAAATTTTTCCCAAATCCAAGCCCTAATTCGAAATACAAGGAGTCATGAAATGGTGCTTGGCTCCTATCAAGATGAAGATCTCAACAAACTCTCTAACTTTGCTCAAGGAGGTGCAATCAAATTCTCACAATTGTTAGGCTTAATCAAGCCTTGAAAATGAATAAGAAAAGAAGAAGAAAAAGAAATACAAGAGGGAGAGGAGAGTGCTGGGTAGAGACAGAGAAAATGAGGCCATTTCATGGCCTCTTGGCCACTAAACCATGTGAGTGGGGAGTGGGCCCCACCACTAACTCAAAAT